CTGGGCCTGGGAGATCTTGTTGTCACCATCATCTTCTGGTTGGGGGGTGAAAATCACGCTGTGCTCCTGGCATTGGCCAAAAGCACCGAGGCAAGAACCAACATCCCAAAAAACATCCAACAATGCTAAAATATGCACCCATTCTTTCAACACACACAACCCTTTCTTTCAACAACACAACCAACCCCAGACCCATCCTGCTTGAAGTTCCATTTTCCATCTGGATCCTTGGACACCTTGTAGTATGCAACCTTTGCAGACTCCTTCTCAGAATCCAAGAGGTCTGATAGGCTCAAGCACTTGTTGTCAATGTGTACCATGGTTTCGGGGGTGCATAGGAACTCCAACTCATTCTCATCACATGGTTTTTGCCCCCTCTCACGGAATTTCCCTTTGCCCCATCCAGCAAGGACAGATCCATTTGCAATGGTCACCTCACTTGGTTGAGCACAGCATTAGAAAGTTACTGTACTGACCCCCTAGATTTCTATTTTTTGCTTGAACAGTTTGGGCTGGGAGACAAAACTTGTTCTTTTAGTGAATCCAGTAGAATTCTTGATGTAGGGGCCGGCATCAAAAACCACCAATGATGGAAGGTCATTCGACTTCTGATCAGCTGGGAAGCGCGCATTCAAGATTCCAACATCTTTGATCGTGGCACTGCCAGGAGCATCATCTTCAACCACAACACACCGGGAGTAGTCAACTTCCAGGCTGCGCTTTCTCGGGACCGGAGTGGTGGATGGAGTGGTGCCAGAAGATTTGGGGGTAGCCTTCTCCAACTTCTTGACAGTCGGGTGTCGGTCCTGAAAGTCCTGCACAAAAAACCCTCCACTCATCCTTCCCCCACCACTTCTTCACCTCTGCCTCCGGAATCTCAATGGTGCTGATCTCACCATTCACCTGGTGCTGGATTGCAGTAGAAATAGGGCCAATTGCCAATTGAATTCTAGCATATAGACATTTGCTATTTTGTTTTGCAGTCCATACTTTTAAAGGACATGGAATTGAGATTGAATTTGTATATCTATCACTCTGAGAGTTGCTGGGGTGTGGAAGTAGAACATGTTGATTGTTTGGATCTAAACGCAAAAGAACACCCATTCTCCCAACTCCCAACCTTGCCCCAAACACAGCGCTTGAGCAGCGGTGGTTCCGGCTTGGACTCCATGTGGGCTGGCGGCGGTTCTTCAGCCAACCTTTTGCAATGAAGAGCTTTTGGGGCACAAGACATGGCTTGGGAATTGATTGTGAAAACACACATGTAAACCCTGGAGGGAGACACTGAAAGAGGGTTTTGTTGACCTGTGCCTGTCAACATTGCGGATCTTGAAGTCATTTAACTGGAAGCGGCGAACAAGCTCCTGCTGAAAATAACTGAAGAACCACTCTTCAGCAGAATCATCAGCAAAGATGGGAGCATACTTCAATGGAACATTGAGGTCATTGGCAAGATCGATAAACCCCTCAAAGAAGTTCCCCACCAAGGGCGTGCAGTCCACCAGCATTAGTGCAAGCTGGTTCCCAAAGGCAACACCTTCCTCAGAACCAATCAGATCAGAAAGGGAACACAAAGATCCAAACCATTTAGATACATAGTTAGTATGTTTACAAAAAGCCCCAGCACAACTTGGTTCAACAAGGTATGAGGTTCGACTGCAGACTGAAGAAGTTTTCTGGCTGCATCAGGCCCCACTTGGGCATACTTATGGGCCCCCTGGATAGGATTGTCTGTTGTAGCAGGGAGTGCAGTGGGGGACATGTCTTCCACTTGAATCATGTGTTTCCCTGCCAACTGCTTGGCCTCAGCAACATTCCGGCGCAATTTGCACAAAGATGAATCGCGCCAGAGCCAATCCTGGGTCATGTCACCTGGCGCTAGAATGCGCCCATTGTACGCCAGAGGCCGCTGGTCTCGCTGATCCTCACTGCCCAGAATGAGCTTGAGGTCTTTGAGGCGGGTTGGGTGTGAAGGGGGCAGGAGTTAGAAAGGAAAACATCAGAATCCAATTCCAGACAAAGTGCTGACTTCGACTTGGGGTCAAAGTTCAGTTGAAACATCATGTCTACAAGGCAAGAGCTGTTGGCCAGCATTTGCAGCAGCGCATGCTCCTCAACAAACAACTTGTGCTTCTGGTAGGAGAACACAGGGCAAAGCATAAGCCCACAACTGTTAGCACCAAAGGTCTGTGAACCCAGCATATGCCCAATCATACTGAATGTTCCTGCGGTGACATCAGATTTGATCAGGCTTGGGGCTGCATAGTTGCAAATGAAGAGCAGGGCCTTAACACAGAGCCAGACAAAACCTCAAAACCTTAGAGGTTAGCAGAACATGTTAAACAACAACAACTTTCACCAAGAACACCCAGAGTATAAAGCCCTGCTGATGATCAGCCAAAAGGCAACATCACGGCACTTGGTGACACTTTGCCATTTGGAAGCAGCATCCTCAAGACGCTTCATCATTGTCAAAGCAGACCCAGAATCAAACTTTGATGGCCATGCAAAGGACTCGACCTAGGTGGCTCCAAAATGGGATGGCTCAACACTTACCAACTCCTACAAAGACAAACACAACCAAAAGACAAGTACAACATGTAGGTTGCGAGTTGAGAAACATTGGAATCCAACCATTTCTGAGTTGCACCCATTGCATGCTCGAATCGCTTTTGTCGCCATGAATCCTTCAACTGGGTAACCCGGATCTCAAAGTTGGACACCTTGCCCTGGAACACCTGCAAACAACGCTCATCATAGGCAATTTCCTCCATGAGCAGCTGGTAGCCAGCACTATCTAGCTCAGCTGCGGATTTGTGGAGGGCAGCTTCCGCCTTCCCATCTGCAACCACTTTTCCAGGTGTGAGTTCATTCAGAATCTCCAGGATACCTAGTTACATCTTGAATGGGGTGACCTCAAACAAAACCCTGTCCAAAGATAGACTTCCAAGGCCCCCAAACTCAAGACAATGTTGTGGGACACGTTGCATGAATTCTCACGAGGGTTCCAACTCTCATCCCGCGCTGCACAGGCCGATGACAGCTCCATTTGCAGAGTCAGATCTCCACTGCGAAGGCGGCCCAAGAACCTGGGATGGGGATTCAAGGGAAAGCTCAGTATAGGCCAAGCGGATTATTGAAATCAAGGAAAATGAAAAGTTTTCAATAAGAACCCCAGCAACTTTTTCTCCAACGGTTCTTGCACATTGGGAACTTGGCCTGTGAGCTCTTCCACAAGGGCACCTGGTATGGTGTAGTATGTTTCACTGACTTGCTATTGTGTTTTGTGGGCACTTTTGAAAGCAGAACCAAAACTTCCTTTTGATACTGAGACAGGGCACACGCCAGTGCTGTCACTTCAGCCTTGCCCTCCAACTCCAGCTTGGTCACCCGTTTCCGGTATGTTGCTGGGGTGTTGGAGAATTGTGAATGTACCATTTCAAAAAGCAAAGTCACAGACTCCTTGGTGTTCTTAAGCCTGTGTGCCCATGGAGATGTGCGAGCAACCTTTCCAGTCTTCGCATTGAACCCAACAAGAATCTTCTTGGTCCCAAAGCAGTCATCACTGTAGGGGCAACCTTGATCTAAGCCAGTGTTGACAGGCCAAACCAAGCTGAAATGAATTGTTTGACCCAAAATAGGCCTTTAGAATGCAAATGGAAGTGTCCTTTTCAGATTGCTTTTTTTTGCAAAACCCACTGAGAAGGACACTCAGCAAGAAATGTGTTCATGTAAAACTTCAACCCCCACTTGGCACCCAAGGAGCTTTCCCAACCATAGAAGCTCACAGTCTGTAGAATGCAGTTGCGGGCAGTATCTGGCAACTCCAACAACACCTTCACAGCAGTCTGTTTGAATCCCACGATTCTGTCATGCCGTGGAGCCTCCTCATTCCTTAGAACTGAGAGATTGAGCTGG